CCTGCCATTTGCGACAACAAGGACGGATCATGAAATAATCACACTAAGTGAAATAAGCCAGACAGAAAGGTTGAAAATCACATGATATCACCGATATGTGGGATATAAACTTAAAAGCAACAAACGAACAGGACTCAGGGACATGGTCAATGGTCTAGTGGTTACTAGAGGGGAGGGAGAAAAATAAATAAAATGTTAAAAAAATAAACAATAAATAAAGGGGCACACAGGCAGTCCATGCCTAGAAGTCTGGTGGGTGGGACAGGGGACTGTCACCCTTCTAGAGGGTGCTGGTCTGAGAGTCCTCGCTCTCTTCTAGGGGCTCCTGGTAGCTGGGGGCCTTGGCGGCCCACTCACTGGGTGGACGCGGGGAGAGGCTCTGTGACGAAGTTAGCACGCACGCACGCACATGCAGACCGCAGAGGTCTGGGTCGGGGTTTTAAACAGTGCAGTTCGGAGGACGGATAAATCCTCTCAAAGTCAAATCTCAAATCCTGGTCATAAAAAGTGAATGCGAATAGAATGGCCTCCAACTTTCGTAGACGGTTGTCGGGGGGCATGGCGCTCTGAGCCGAAGGTGACCCTCCGTTGGCTGACGGGGAAGCTGGCAGGACCTCCGTTAAAAACAAAAGCCTGTCCCCTGGGGAAACTCTGGGTCAAGGTCAGGCTGGGCAGGACCAAGCGCGGGCGGGCGCGACTCGGGGACTGTTAGGGCCATGGCTGTGCCCTTGCCGATCCTTGTGACCTGCAGAGGCTCCAGCCTGTTCCGAGCCCGTCGTCTTCGTTTGTGACACGGAGGGCCTAGCACTCCCCACTCTGAGGCTTGTCGTGTCATGCGAGAAGCTGTCTCGGGGTCGGCACTCAGCACGCACTTGGGACCTGCTAGCTGTCGCCATTAAAGGACACAGTCTAAAAGCCAGCTGAAAGATAAAAATAAAACACCCGGCAGCTTTTTCCTCCCCAGAGAAGGGAACTGTAGGGTCCTACAGCTCAAGAAACACGAGGAGCCGGGCCCCCTGCAGTCCGTTCTTTCCGTTCAGACTCAGAGCCGCGAGAACGGAAGGAACCTCTCAGTGCGTGGCTCTCTCCTGTCGCCTGGTGGTCCCTTCACCGATGTAAATGATTCTCCGGGTGGGGGAGTGAGACTTGACATCGCGGTGGTGGTGGGGGGCGGGATGCTCCACGTCGGTCCCAGACTTAGCATCTGTCGGCGACGGCGGCACAGGTTTGTGGACTGGGGGTCTCGTGTGTCTGCTGTCACTAGTGGGCTCGTGACCGGGTAACTTGCACCACCCCTGGGCCTCAGTCTCGATCGCTGAGAAACGAGGAGTGTCGGGG